GATAATCTTAATGTTACTTTTGTTATTTATTCTAGTAATATTACTGAAATTAACTACACTACGCATAAATCTATAATATCGATACGCCTATTAATACAAGTGCTACTAATTATCACACTAAAAGTGCTTTTTACGCACATCAAACTATTAATATTACTACGACTCTTACCGCAATCTCAAACATAACTACTGATTTTACTACCAGTGTTAATAAAACTATAACTGCTACTACAATTATTAGTACCCTCATTAATATTTATTTTTATAAATCTACTTTTAACATGCTTACTAATACTACTACTATGAATTCGTCAATCATTTTGTTTGCTTACAATATCACAGTAACTATTGCCTCTACTATTACTAATGCGCAGGATATTTATCCTACAAATAGTACTGGCATTAATACCTAATGCTATTAATCTTAACGCTATTACTACAACTCTTACTACTACAAATATAACTGGTATGACTACAGTTATTATTACTCATACCACTAATAGTTTAATTTTGACTGCCTCTACGAAACTTACTCCTAATATCAGTACTATTACTTTTACTGTGAAAACCACTAAAGTGTTTACTATACTATAGCCTACTTGTACTATTTGACATACGTGCAGTGCTTCTAACAAACATTAACATGCTTACTACGGTAAGTGGTACGCTCAGTAGCACTGGAATGACCACTAGTACCACTGGTCTGCTTATTCCTAATAATGCGAATTCCATCATTATTATCATTAGCAGCGCCACACCAATTCCACCATTTACTACTGTTACTACTACTACTACTACTACTACTACTACTACTACTACTACAATAGTTATTTCTTAATGCACTATTACTACTATAACTACTTCTGCTACGACGATTATGACTATTGCTCATCTTCACATTTATAACTCGGAGACTGGGATTATTTCCTCTGCTTGCGCTCTTTCTCCTATCCCCAACTCTTTCCTCGGCCATATTTTTGTTCGCATGGCCAACTTGCGCCCGCAGCACACGATTTCACCAGAGAAGGTCGTGTTAGACAGGCTGTAGTGCAGTCCTGTCAACAGCCCAATTCTGTGAGAAAAAAGAACTTTGAACGATCAGCCGATGGAGGCCAAAAGAACGTAAACAGTGCGACCTGCAGGTACGCGTTGCAACACTGACTTACACGGCGTCATGTCTCCGTAGCGGTTAAGCTTGGGCACCGTGGCAGCCAGATCTTCTGTTAGCTCGTACTCCAGATTTTGCTTCTTCGTCAAGTTGGCGAGCGCCTGCGAAGAGGTTAAAATGCGACTTAGATGAAAGGGGCAAAACAGCAGGGCTTTAATGAACTAAATTGTACAATCGCTGCTCACCAAAAATTCCTTCGTGGCCTCCGCGTCGGACTGCATTCTCTTAACGTTGAGGTTGAACTCGGCGAAGTTTATTGGCAGAGGGCTGAAGATTCAGAATAAAAGCAAAAGCAAAAGTGACCAATGAAGGAGGTATTTGCGTTGGAAACCTGCAGTACGCTAAATACATTGAGCTCTGTGTTGAAGGTATGAGAGGCAAACTTAGTTTATGCTACTTCATTTTTCTAGGGGTTTTCGCAGACAAATGTAAAATCCCTTTTGAATACTTATTGTTTTTTTCTATCTTATCTGTCATCAGGGTTCTGTCCAAAACACTCCGCTCCTATTGTCGTTTGAGATTTGAGATACAGATAATCACCTTTATGGGATGTAAATACAGAAGCTGTACGATCTCATTAAATGTAGCCAAAATTCTTTTATGGATTCTCAATGAACAGAGCCTACTTAGTCTTGGTTACAATACTGATAAGCATACATCTTACTTCCA